TGCCTGGAGCCGAAACTATTCTAAGGCTCCCTATTTCTCCAACACTGTTCTCTGAAATGAGTCACTGTTTCTGATCTCTTTTAACAGACGGTTTCCGAGTCATTAAAAATAGCTCCAGGTGGGGCTTCCCTGGTGGCGCAGTGGTTGAGAGTCCGCCTGCCGATGCAGGGGACACGGGTTCGTGCGGGTCCGGGAAGATCCCACATGCCACAGAGCGGCTGGGCCCGTGAGCCATGGCCGCTGAGCCTATGCGTCCAGAGCTTGTGCTCCGCGACGGGAGAGGCCACAGCAATGAGAGGCCCGCGTACAGCAAAAAAAAAAAAAAAAGAGCTCCAGGTGAAAACTTGCAATGTCTTTATTTTCAATATTTTGCCTCTATCTGATCCTGTGGTTAGTGCATGGAAGCGATGCCCCCTGAGTTGCTGAAGCTGGAGGACGGGAGGACTTGAGTAACACCCTCATGCCAAGATGTCTGGCAAGGTCCTGATTTAACAACAAGCAGGTGCTGAGCATCGAGAGATGTCAAGAGCACAGGAGACAGGAGGATGCCTCCAACGACAAGAATCTCTGAATTAGTGAAGTATTTGTTATGTCCCTTTGACTCCTCCTCCCATAAAATCTGTGGCTGCCAGGATGATGGGAAAGGACTAAACGTGGGAGAGGATTATAAAATGTTTCACTGCGGGATGGATTTTATTTAATAATAGATAGGCTTTGTTCAAATGGGGCACTTTTGACCCGGGCAGATATTACTAAATTTACCACTGTGGTGTTTAGCTAATGTAAAAATATCAGAAAGTACCCCCAGATGCTCAGAAACACAGCTGTCATTTTGTCTTCTTTATATGGTCCCAGAATCCCGACTGGCTACATCTACAGAAAAGTAGCCCGTGATGTCGGGACCATGAAGAAACAACACAGGCTTAAATACAACTGTTTAGTTTGTTTTGGATGAAGTGACTAGTATTTATGACATTAATCAGTCTGGAATTCTAGGGTGACATCATCTCTTCCAATATGCTGGCTCTGTTCTGGCCATCTGGGGCGCTGACTTTTCCTAGCGCCTTGAGCACGTGCTTTCCAGAGCACTTACACTTCTGTGCCGTGTTCTTCTGGTTAGCTTGGCCATCTCCACTGCAGACCATCCGTGCCTAGAAACCTTCATGTCCTCACTGCTTCACACCTTGCTCAACACAAAATGAGCACACAGGAAATATTCAGTGAATAAATGCTTGCCAAAAAAAATCAAAGAAATTTAAAAGTTATTTTTTAATTGATAAACTTCCTGTTCCAGTATGGCTGAGTAAACTCCAACTCGTCTTTCTACAGAAAACAACTGTAAACTCTGGACACACACACACACACACACACACAAGAAATCTCCTAGGCCACTAGATTTCACTGGTGAACTCTATCAAACATTTAAGAAGAAATGACATCAATATCACACAAATTCTTTCAGGAAATAAAGGAGGAGGGAACATTTCCCAACTCATTTTACGAGGCCAGCACAACCTTAATGCTAAAACCTAAAGACATCACCAAAAAAGAAAAACAAACTCCACGAACTGATAAATTTCATCCACGATCAGAATGCATTTGGCTATCCTCACGTGTCTGACATGTACAAATAGTGCTTCCAGCAAATTTATATAAAGTATTTCTTACTGATTTGTCAGAGAAAAAAAAATTACTAATTTTAAGATTTGTATTTTAGGGCTTCCCTGGTGGCGCAGTGGTTAAGAATCCGCCTGCCAATGCACGGCACACAGGTTTGAGCCCTGGTCCGGGAAGATCCCACATGCTGCAGAGCAACTAAGCCCGTGCGCTACAATTACTGAGCCTGCGTTCTAGAGCCCGTGCTCCGCAATGATAGAAGCCACTGCAGTGAGAAGCCCGCGTACCTCAACGAAGAGTAGCCCCCGCTCACTACAACTAGAGAAAGCCCGTGCACAGCAACGAAGACCCAACGCAGCCAAAAACAAACAAATAAATAAATTTATCTAAAAAACAAAAAAAAAGATTTGTATTTTAGTGTCCACCAGACGGGCCTGTATAATTTTGTGGAAATTAACTCCAAAATGTAATGGAATTGGCCTCCTATATCACCAATTTCAGTCCATCCAGATTTATCCATCAGTGGTTTGAAACTGGAAATAGATTATATAGCACAGGGAACTATACTCAATATTTTGTAATAACCTATAAGGGAAAAGAATCTAAAAAAGGATGTATGTATATCTGAATCACTTTGTTGTACACTTGAAACACAACAGTGTAAATCAACTGTACTTCAATTAAAAAAGAAACAGGCAACCCCCGCCTCAATAAAAAGACTCTAATTGGAACTCCTTGCCCCTTTTTGGAAAAACCTGTTCATCCCAGGCCAATTTGTAGGCCGCTTTCCTGGTCTAATTAATATATTTGATGGGACATTAATGAACAGGCTATTCTTCAGTTGGGTGCGCACCCCTAATCCAATCAGCTATTGCTGGAGGGGGTCGGGTAGTAGGAAATATGGTGGCCGAGGGCTGGCTCATCAGCGGGGCCTGTGGGAGGGGAGGTTTTCCTTAGAAGGGGTCGTGGGCACAGCAGACACCATCATCGTTCAGCACGGTAGCTGTGGTGAGTTGTGGCAGCCTCCTTATCATATTTTCTACATAGTCTTCAAGAAAACAGTTCACGTCCTTATTAACCATGGCACGCCACCACAGTGGTCACTACTAGTAGAGCACTAGCCACCAGTCTACATTTCTTCTTTCTGTGGCAGGTGTAGGATGATTCAATTGCTATCATCAGGGGTTCTTCCTCGCTTTTCTGAGGTATATGGAATACTGCTTCTTCCTCAAAAGGCACATAATTCACTTTCAATGAGGTCTGCACTCCACTTAGCAGGAAAGGTCTAGACGAGGCACAAGCAAAATGGTGATGCTTTGCGTTCTGGGATCCGGAGTGTGTCTTGCTAAGGGAAGATTTATGACGCTGAACCAAAGTCCTTAGAAAATGCCAAGGAAAAAGACTGAGAAAATCAAGTCCAGGTGGCAAGTCCAGAGGGCAGAACAAAGTCAAAAACAGGAGACAATCCAAGGATCAGGTATCGAGCAGAACTAGAACAGATGGAAGGTGATGTGAGCGCCGCTGAGTGTGCCGTTGCTTGCTTTTCTGGATTCACCAGGTGGCGCGGGGTGGGCAGTGCTGGCCTAAGGGCACATGACTGAGGGGGACATTCAGGAAAAGTCTGTTCCTTCTCCTTCTCCATTTACCCCTGGTCTCTGGTCTCTGGAGAGTCATTCCAACTCTCCTCCATCACCTTGGAACCGTTTACTTTCTGCTGTGATTACTTCCTCCTGCCTACCTCAGACTCTCCAATTCCTCTAACAACCTGGAGTTCAGTGGGGCATGGTTTGAGCCCTTTAACCAGCTTGCTTTAAAGAACACAGCCCAGAAGGTGAAGTTAGCATCTGCCTTGCGGGTTACTGAACCTGTTCCTTCAGCATGTGCACCCACTCCCGAGCCTGTTCATGTGCCAAGTAGAGGCAGCCGTTAACAAGGTCACTTGTTATCACCTCTCTGATTCGCTCCCACATCATTTTAGGAACTCATGCCCCATTCTTCCGGTTGGGTAATCCACATGGTAACAAGTGATATTTCCACACGTGCTGCATAGACCACACGTGGCCTGAAAAGGACATACGCACAGCTCTATAGGCAAATACGATGCCACTGATAATTCCAAATAGGAGAAGGTGCCTTGATTGGCTCAACTGACCCGGAGGCCATTAAAATGTCATTGTTGGGGCTTCCCTGGTGGTGCAGTGGTTGAGAGTCTGCCTGCCAATGCAGGGGACACGGGTTTGAGCCCTGGTCTGGGAAGATCCCACATGCTGCAGAGCAACTGGGCCCATGAGCCACAACTACTGAGCCTGCGCATCTGGAGTCTGTGCTCCGCAACAGGAGAGGCCGCGACAGTGAGAGGCCCGCGCACTGCGATGAAGAGTGGTTCCTGCTCGCCGCAACCAGAGAAAGCCCTTGCACAGAAACGAAGACCCAACGCACCCAAACAAATAAATAAAATGAATTTATAAAAAATAAAAGATTTAAAATAAATAAATAAAAAATAATAATAAAATGTCATTGTTCCCGAGGAAAATGTTTTTAAGGTCAATCCACGGTTGCCCTACTCACAAATGACCAAGTCTGAACCCGTATCTCCGCCTGAGACAACTTTTCTTGTTACGCAACCCAGAATACCTGTGATGTCACAGACCCAAAGGCGATTTCTAAGGGTTGGGTGAGCGTGAGGGCTTGGGGCTGTTCCCAGAATCCCTATCTGGAATGCGTTTACAAATGGTGATCAGTCCAGGGTACCTGAAATCTTATTAGCACTGCATGATGGGCGCATTGAAGCAAAATGGGCTTCTGTGGACTGGCACGGGAGCCAAGCTCACTCTTTCAGGACAAACTATAATCTTATTCATAATTTGGGGGCTATTCCTAGAATGTACATTCTATCTATTAAAATGCTTTGTAAAATAGAAGCCTATTGCTGATAAAGCATCAGCTATTACCTAAAACAAACTCTCACCTTTCAGAACCAATATTTTCTCCCTGAGAAAAAATTTTTTCTGCTGCTTCTGAGGTGTCAGTTATTTGGTACTATTCCAACAGCCCTCAACTCTGAAATGTTTACACTAGCTAAACACACACAACTTACAAAGAACTGGCCACTTCACCCGAAATTTCCACCTATTCACTTAATCAATTGCAACGTTGAAGCAGGAATTACCTTGGTCAAGGCTATATTTCAATTCAAGAAGTATTTAACTGTTTACCAGTGGCTAAATGCTGACTCAGGATCAAGGGAATTGTTTATTGAGTACACAGTGTTTGCAACACATGGGACAGATTTAAACTGGACAGAGAAAAACCCCATCACCAAAGTGCTTCAGGTTACCACTGATCATAAAAAGGTAGGCAAAATCATTTCTGCCATGAACTGATTGTGGTGACTTATCTCTTTATTAACATGAACAGAAATAACATCCAGCCCTCTAACACAGAGTATAGGGGTAGAGCGTTCCGCAGGAGTTTAGAACTTACGTCAACACAAGCCTTTCTCAACAAACCAAGTAGTATTTCCTGAGTACCTACAGCGGAGGAGATACAGGTACTAAGATACGCGTTGACCTTTTGAATAAGCAATTTCAATAGTTTTTCTTATTCAAGTAACTCAGGATCCACAGTAACTCCATCTAATGAGCCACCAAAGGAACTGCAAGTTGAACTAAACTGATGTCCACCACAAAATCCTTTTTCTCTTGAACTCTATAAAGTCTCCTTTCTCTGTGCATCTAACTAAATAGCTACCTGTAAATAGAGTACACATAGCAACAATATACACCCACATATATTTTTCCACATCTGTTATCTTATTTAAGAGCAAGGGGTTTTGGAGTCAGAATTGAGTTCCATTTGTGACTGTCATAGTAAGTAAATGTGACCTTGGGTAAATCACTTAAGCTCTCTGGGTCTCAGTTTTCTCATCTCTAAAATGGGATTCATAATAGAAATTGGGTAATTGTAAGGATTAAAGGAGCTAATATTAGCAAATTTCTTAGCACAGGGAGTACATAATCCATAAATCGTAGATTTAATTATTATCCTTTAATAATTATCCCAACCTTTGTAAGTCTACCAGGCACTTATAATTATCTCTGTTGAACAGATGAGATTAAGTAATTTATCCAGGGTTCAACAATTCAGCAGTGGCAGCTCTAGGGCGTCTGATGCCAGGCCCCAAGACTCCCACCATCACCCCCAGTCAACCTTATAGACTTTTATAGAATGGGCTGCACTGTCCAGCACAAGAAGAGAATTTTCCTTGGTAAAGGTCAGTGCCACAGGATGGGAAAGACCGTGGGTGATGATGGGCTTCAGTACTGGAAACTCCTCAGGTTTTCCTAAGCATAGGACAGCCAGATTAGAAGTATCGGCAACAATCACGTTCCCCTGGTGATCAAAGGTCACAGCGGAGGCGGTTATTTTGGAGGGGAAAAAGAGGCTCAGCCCAAAGGCATCCACCTGGCCGATGAGCTGCATACTTGCGCTGAACACCTTCACCGTGGTGCTGCAGGTCCCGGTCCCCACAGCCAGGGGGTGCTCTAGGACCGCAATGGCCCCGGTGAGCCAGGACACCGCCAACCCCCGGGGATGGCACAGGTGAGTTTGCAACCGTTCAGTTCTCCGGAGGACCCCTTCTGGAAAGTCGATTTCCAGGAGGTGCAGGGACCCCGCCTCCGCATCAGTTACCATGACCCCATTCTGAGGGGTGGTCTCCACACCCCAAGGCAAGGAGAACTGGCCTCCGATGACAAGCTTAATCTGGCCAAAAAAGTCAAACACTTTGATGGAGCGGTCGCCGGCGTCGGTGACAACCACATGGCAGTCGTTTGTGACGGTGACGTCAAGTGGATACCTAATGTCCTGAGCAGCGTCCCCCTTCTCTCCAAACTGATGCGCACATCCTCCCCCCGCGTCAAAGATCTTGACACGCCTCCTGCCGTCGTGCACCACCACGACCCGCCCCGTCTTAGGACACAGCGCCAGCCCAGTGGGGTTGACCAGGGTCCCCCAGCCTCCGAAGGCGTGGTGGCAGGTGAGGACCCCGGGGGCGGAGGGGGCGGCGCGCGGGGCCGCTGGGGCCGGGCGCAGCGCGGAGCCCAGGAGCTCCAGGAGGTGCAGCACCGGCAGGCAGTCGCTGGTGTCGCAGCCCCTGCAGGCTCGCCGGCAGAAGGGGCACTCGAGGGCCAGCGTCCGCGGGTGCGCCAGGGCGGCCACGCAGGCCAGGCAGACCACGTGGCCGCAGGGCAGGTTGCGTGGGCGCCGCTGCTGGCGGTGGCCGAACCGCTCAAAGCACACCTTGCACTCGAGCAGGCTGGTCTCGGCCTCGCGCACCAGCTCCCGCAGCGCTGGCCCGCTCCCGGAAGCCTCGGCACCCATCGCGCGGCCTGTAGGACTCCCGCCGCCCCGGCAGCCTGCGGAGCTGTACGCTGCCCCCGCGCCGCCCGGGGTCACGGTCACGGGGCGGGGCGCTGGTCCTGACGTCGACGGCGGCCGGCCGCTCGGCCGAGACCTGCTGCCCCCTGGTGGGCACTGCATCCTGAGGGTCTGACAGTGGACACTGACAAGCTGTATCCACAGCGCGTGGTCAGACCTGTAATCTTCACAACAGTCATGGATGGACTATCTCCAATTTACACTTGAGGAAACATACATATTGAGGACAAGCGGGTTGCTCCCTGGTACCCAGCAGAGTGCCCTGCAGTTTCCCGTCGGCAGCGCTGGGTGCTGGGGCCTGGGGCTGGCCAGGCATGAAACCTGGTCTCAGAGCTCACGATGCTTATGATCTGACTGGGAAAACACAGACGTACAAGGGAAATTAAAATCCAAGGGGGTGAGGCAGGTGCACGTACTTCCTTTGGGTCTTCTATCACTCTCGGAGTACAGTAGATGCTTCATGACTACTTGTAAAATGAATTTATGTATGAATGAAGAAATGTTATAGGAAAATACATGCAATCCACTAGATGAATTTGTGTCAAGGCGGGGACTATGGCTGGGAATGTCTCCCAGAGAAATTAATATGAAAGAAGAAAGCTATTAGTTCATAATAAACTTACTCCATGGCTGCCCTCTTTTAAGTGGTTTCCATAGGTTATCTTATTTAAACCACATGACAATCCTACTAGGTGTGTTACTTTCATCACCCATTTTCTACCATAGTGTTTGTAGAGGTTAAGTTTCTTACCCAGGGTCACGTGGCTAGGAAGTGGCCAGGATTTGACTGCAGAGCCCACACTCTTAACTATACCAGTCTTTTCAAACTTGGTTGCACGTGGTAAATACCTGGGTTTCATCCTCCAAAGATTAATTTGTCCAGGGTGTGGGCTGGGCAGCTGGGATTTTTTTAAAGCTTCCTAGGGGCTTATCATGTGCAGCCAAGTTTGAGAATCACTGTGATATGACAGTCCCACACATGACAGCAGGTTAAATTCTTTCCACCTCAATCAATATGGAAAGCACAGAGAATCTACAATATGTTCAAAGATCCTCAAACAGGAGATAGCACAATCTCTCTCAGGAATCGCTGTGGTACTACAAGCAATCATTTTCAGGAGTCTCCCCTCAATGGATCACGAGAACATTGTCTTTGGCAAAACCACTTATCAGATCACTTCTCCTCATTTAGAGATAATTACCGTGATCATTCACCCTCTTATTTGCTAGACTTCTGAGAAAACAAGGGATTTTTATCGCATTAAATCCCCTGGAGGAAGCTTTAATGTAAGACAAGAAAGAACATTTTCTTATGCAGTGTTACAAGATTCAAATATTATCTGTGTATTGGGACACAGTAACCAACTTAATATTATAATTTCAGACTACAATACATTTTCATTCCAAATAGAAATTACTTTCTGAAGTCATCCTTAAGTCAAGAAAAACATTCAGGAAATCTAAATCCCATCTAAAAATGGAATATTTTTAGAATTAGTACTAAAAGATATATAATGAGAGCCATGTATAGAATATTAAATTTTCTAGTAGCCACATTTTAAAAAGAAACTAATAAAATGAATTTAATTGCATATTTTATTTCATCCAAAATATCCCAAATGATACCCTTATGACATGTAATCACTGTAAAAATTATTAGTGAGATATTTTACTCTTTTTTTTTTTTTTTTTTTTTAGTACTAAGTAAAGTCCAGTATGTATTTCAAACCCACAGCACATCCTAATTCCATTCAGTAACCAGATGCAGCTGGCGGTTACTGCGGGGAACAGAGATCTAGACCAAGTCTGTGATTAATTACCTTCTCAAGATGCTTTTCATACGGATTTCATTGATGCTTGAAGGTGCTTCTAACTTGCCTCTGCTCCAACATTGTTTTAAAACGAATCCAAAGACCCCCAACTCCTTGCTGACTGTGACGGAGCTTCTACCCCACCCTCAGCGACGTCTTGCCATTGAGTGTGATTCTCAGTAGAGAGGAGCTCTGCCTAGTGAGTAGCCTGCCTTCTTCTTCTTGATCCTGTGCTGTCCCCGTGCGGCAACCAGTAGTACTGCACCAAGAGGCTGGCGGTGTTTAGCGAGGGTTTTAAACCAGACAAATCTGCAATAAATACGACTTATCTAAGAATGTTCACAGTCATCGCTCTGCCCCTTGGTAGTTAGCAAAGCGGTTCTGGAAAGCATTGTGGCACATACACTGACAATTCACCCTGACGATTTGCTGTCAAGACTCTAATTGGTAAATTTAAAGTATGGAAATGTAATTTTGTTGCGTTTGATCAGAGTTAAAGCTTTCTCAGTGACACAAAGCTTCTGAACTAAACACAGGTAGGTTTGCGTCTTTCACACTGAGGATCCCCACATTCTAGCTGGGCATCGTTAGCAACCATTTTCTTCACTGTTTGCTGCCTCTCCATGGAGTTAAACACAAATTCTGTTCCAGCGTTCCTGTCAACCCAACCCACACCCTCCCTTCCCTTTTCACTTGTCCTTTTTGTACTTTACCAAGTGTAGAGTCCAGTTTCTTTTTATCCAATCTTAAAATTGCTCTTTATCTTCCTCCTTTCTTTCTTTTTCTGAAGACAGAAACTAAGTTCTAGGAGAGCAGGAACCATATCCGCAGTGCCTAGCGCATGCCTGGTACACAGCAGGAGTCAATACATGTTTTTTAAATGGACGAACTAATGAATACTTAAAAGGATACTACTTACAGGCAGCAAACTCCAATGTTATACCTTTCCTTTGATGATTCTCTAGTATTTATACGAAGTATTGCTAGGAAAATAGCACTTGTTTATCTCTAGAGTCAATGTTGAAAGGTTTCTCAAATACCTTATATAGTGCAATCCTCGTCGCATATATACACTGATTAATAAAAGAAATGTCCTGGGGACTTCACTGGTGGCCCAGTGGTAAAGAATCTGCCTTCCAATGCAGGGGACGTGGGTTCGATCCCTGGTCAGGTAACTAAGATCCCACATGCCGCAGGGCAACTAAGCCCACGTGCCACAACTACTGAGCTCGTGTGCCTCAGCTGGAGAGCCCACGCGCCCTGAAGCCTGCGCGCCACAACTAGAGAAGAGAAAACCCACACGCCACAACCAGAGAGAAGCCCACGCACCACAACGAAGATCCCGCGTGCCATAACTAAGACCCGTCGCAGCCAAAAATAAATTAAAAAAAAAAAAAAGAAGCGATGCCCTGAGTCTTAACTCTAACATTCTGAGTTTCCTATGAAGAATCATCCCTCCTCCATGGCGAAGTCTCCATGGATTTCCTCTGTGCTTCCCTCCAATACTTCTTACTTAGAGGGTCCTGGAATAGCATGACCATCTCTTCCTCCTTCCACCTAGAACAAGCCCTGAGGCCTGTGGAGGCAAAGGATTTGAAGAATACATCTTGTGGTCAGTGGCTGACTCCTGTGCAAAGGACCACGCGGCAGAGGGGGGGAAATGGAGACCCAGCTCAGGGTGGTTACAGCAGAGAGGAGGGGGCGGAGGGCGACAGGCTGAGGAGTCTGGGGGAGGGAGTTAGTGCTTACGCGCATGGACTGCTGGTTTTGCAAGTGTGGGAAGACATGCCACATACATGCAGTTGAGAAGGAATCCCAGAACGAGTCCAATGACACAGTTACATCTCAGATTGTACCTGACAATAATGAGAGAAAGATGTAACACAGTTACATCTCAGGTTGTACCTGACAATGACGAGAGAAAGGAAGAGAGCAAGCCACATAGAAGCATCTCAGTCCGGGAGGAGAGGTGCAACCTTTGAACAGAGAAGGAGCAGACTGTAGGCGCTTTAGCATGGGCTTGTGAGCGCACAGGAGCAAAAGCTTGCTACCATTACGAACCTGAATCCCTCCTGGGTTGGTGGGCTTTGAGTTTCAGGCAGCCTCCGGGCACCTCCTTAACAGGCAGATCTCCATCACCTGTGTGGTTCCTTGGACCCAACCTGGGTTCTGGTCTCCAGCTTTGCTCTGCCCCAAGGGCACCTGGTCTTCCAGCACCCACTCTGACCACCTATCTAATTTCACAACTCATGCCCCACGTGCTTGGCTTCAGGGGTGAGGGATTTGGTGGGGAGGGGAAAGTGGTGCAGGCTCGAAGGTTTTGAGCACACACAGAAAAATGAGCTGGAGATGTATGGTTGAAAGTGAGAAGCTGGAGATTTCAAAGTTTCTGAAATTTTCATAAACACACAATGAAATAATTTTTATAATACACACCATCCCATTAACATGAGCTAAACAATCTAAATCATTTAAATATTAGGTAGTGCAGTAAGAAAGGAATGTCTGATTTATCAAAATGTGATTTTTAATGAAAAATTGAAAAGTTTTGAATCTAAACTTTCATAATGAACAGACATGAATCCAGCCCTAAGTACTGCACTTCATAAGACTATCATTTAAACAACATTAAATTACGAGAAACAAAAAACTGCCAAACACAGAAAACAACTTTTAAAAATAATTTCTTTTTACAGTTTGGGAAAAATATTTTTTCCATATAGATTGGTTAATTTCATTAATTTAAAAGTTTATTTCTTCATTCTGTCATATATAAAATTATATAAGGAGAAAAAATGTGAAAAGGAGTGCTAGGATTGAGTACAATATGAGGGTTTACAGTAAAAATTAATGTTTATATAATGTCTTAGACCATTATCTTTTACCTTGGACCCCATTAAAGTGTTATATTTACTCAATGGTTCTAAATTTCATAAAGAATGCCAGTGTTTCTGTCTATTATATTTAAGTTATATGCATTATATTTTTCTTTTATTCTTTAATTATACAAGTAATACATGCTGATTGTAAAAAATTCTTGCAATCTGTAAGTAAGACACACAGGTATAATCTTTCGCCCCCCAATCAGTCTCTTTTCCAAAGTACATGTTTTTTTTCCTAAAAAGTTATAAGCATTTTTGAGCAAAGATCTGTGATGTGATTTGTGAAGAATTTTTTTCCAAAAGTCACCTATTATATTTTCATGCCTTAGCACAATTTTCAATTGCTCAAAAACATGTTGATATTACTTGCTTCTATTTACGTCTCATTTACTTTTCTATAAATAGATATAACTTTTCAATAATGTAGTCAATTCCCCAACTTTTATGTCCTTCTTCAAAAGCATCAACCTTCTCCAGACAATGAATATTGCACACTGAACCTGAAACAAAAAGAAAGTGTGACAAGTTAAAACTTTATGAAGAATGCAACCAGTTCTAAAAACATATCAGATGGTTTTTAAAAGAGTGTGTACTGAAGATCTTTTCTTTCTTTTTAATGAACATGGGGAAATAAATATTAAGGGTAAATTTTCTGCACTCTGAATTGTTATTATCACTTATAACTCCTAAGATCTAAAATAAACATACCATCTCTCTAGAAGAATTCAGATGTCTTTAACATAAGCATACCATTTAGCTAAAAAGTCCTATTACAGAGATGGGTTCCTTTTTTGGATATAATAGTCTCCAATTAACTGGCTTCTGACTTTTAAATTTTATATACTTCTAGATATTAATAGTTTGCTAATAGCTCAAAACAGTTAACTGTTGACTTTGTTTCAAAAGTTACAGCACAT